AGCCTCAGTAAATTCAAAAAGATTGAAATTGTACCAACCAGTTTCTCAGACCACAAAGGTCTGAAACTAGAAATAAATTATGCAAAGAAAATGAAAAAGCCCACAAACACAATAACCAAATAAAAACAGAGATCAAGCAATATATGGAGACAAATGACAACAATAATTCAACACCACAAAAAATCTGTGGGATGCAGCAAAGGCTGTGCTAAGAGGGAAATATATTGCAATACAGGCCTACCTCAGGAAAGAAGAACAATCCCAAATGTACAGTCTAGACAATTAATGAAACTAGAAAAAGAAGAACTGAGGCCCAAAGTTGGTAGAAGGAGGGACATGATAAAGAGCAGAGAAGAAATAAATAAAATTGAGAATAAAACAATAGAAAGAATTAATGAAACAAAGAGCTGGTTCTTAGAGAAAATAAACAAAATAGATAAACCGCTAGCCAGACTTATCAAGAAAATAAGAGAGTCTACACACGTAAACAAAATCAGAAATGAGAAAGGAAGAATCACAACAGACACTGCAGAAATACAAAGAATTATTAGAGAATACTATAAAAAATTATATGGTAACAAACTGAATAACCTAGAAGAAATGCACAACTTTCTAGAAAAATACAACCTTCTAAGGCTGACCCAGGAAGAAACAGAAAATCTGAACAGACCAGTTACCAGCAACAAAATTGAATTGGTAATCAAAAAACGACCTAAGAACAAAACACCTGGACCAGATACTTTCACTGCTGAATTTTATCAAACATTTAGTGAAGACCTAATACCCATCCTCCTTAAAGTTTTCCAGAAAGTAGAAGAGGAGGGAATACTCCCAAACTCATGCCATGAGGCCAGCATCACTCTCATACCAAAACCACGCAGAGGCACCACAAAAATAGAAAATTACAGACCAATATCCCTGATGCACATAGATGCAAAAATACTCAACAAAATATTAGCAAACCGCATTCAAAAATACATCAAAAAAGTCATCCATCATGACCAAGTAGGATTCATTCCAGGGATGCAAGGATGGTACAACATTTGAAAATCCATCAACATCACCTGTTCACCCCAGACCAGGCGGAGGCTGTGACTCACTTCCATGAGTAACTGTGGTTCAGTCTGAAAACGTTTTCTCAAAGGTATGAAGGATGCCACCTGTGTTTTTTCTGTTGTCTTCCCACTGTCTCATTTCATTCCTTCTAATACGGTAAAGGGCACAGTGTTCAGGGCTCATTTACTGTTTCTGTCAGAACAACAAACGGAGACCTTTCCTGCAGTGTCGCATGCCTGTGGATCTCTGCATTCTCATTGGTGGACAATTTGCTTTGCTTTTCTTAAATGCTTCTCTATTATGGTGATACAGAAAAATTGGTTTTTACTTTTTACTTTTACACACATACACCATTTTTTGGAAGAGCTGGGCCAAAACAATGTCGATTCATCAATTATAATCACTTTGAAAAAGTAACAATCACACAATAATTATACTATTTTCAAATAAATGGGCTAAAGAGAAGAAAAAAGCCAATCCAATTCCTCTTCGGTCAGAGGTGTTTGTTTGTTTAGCCTCTATCATAAGGTAAGGTGAGGGCCTAAAGGCTCTTGAATGGTTTTCTGAACACTTTCCTGAATCTATCTTTTTAGTTGTTCTTGATTTAAAAATCTCTGACTTCCAACTGGCTTTCCCATCTTCTTCCTTCCAGGCTGTCCCCGCCCTAGGTCGCTGGTGACCCGTCTCTGTGGAGAGAGATCTGGCTGGCGTGGTGGGTGTCCAGGCTGCCCGGGAAGTCCCTAAGCGACCCTTTCTTGGGCAACTGGTGACGTCGGTCTTTTTTGTGCCTTTCACCAGTGTTTTCAATTCTTTTAATTAAGATCTTTATCGAAAAGGTTACCTTACCGCTACTCCTCATGTCTGGAACGCAAGCCTATTATTCTAATATATTCAAGTAAACGTGTTTCATAAACATGAAAAAAGTAAAAACTAATTTTTCCATAAGCAGAAATCCAATTTTTTTTTCTAGCTTAAGACAAAGCTAATGATCTAACAAGTTTTGAATCCCCTTAAATGTTCTTCCACCCGTGGGTAAGTTACAGTCGCGATCAGAGGGTGCTGTGCGCGACTGACTGTGTGGAGTGCTCACTGGCAAATTAGAGAGGTTTTGTCTCCTGAATCCTCTGGTGTTGCTTATTTAATGCATTCTCTCTGCAGTGGGGCCTGTGGACTTTCCAAATGGCACTCATTTAACTGAGAGAACACCGAGACTGCTCTGCACACCCGCCGACTTATTTTGTCACCAGCTTAGTTCAAACAACACTTTTTCTGAGAGATAAAAGTCTTGCCCTTTTCCTCATTTCTAATTGGCACAGCCTTAGTGTAGGCCAAGGCAGCTGCATGTAGGGGAAATTCAGGGACGCCGAAACCTGACAGCCGCGCCCCACGGTCAGCTCTGAGCTCTTTCCTCTGTGACAGGACGGAGCACGGCCAGCAGTGGTAACACTCTGCTTTGCTAACTTAAACCCAGTTTTGTGCCCATGGAGTGTTTAATCTCACTGCTCCAAACTAATCGTTTGTTTAAACAGCTGTATATTTTAGGGGAAAGATTCACTTTTAACTTTTATGTAGGTCTCTCCCAGTCGGGTCACTCATTACATGCGTCTTGCGCAGGGCCATTTATAAAGGGTGCCAAGCAAGTCCGTGTCTTTCTGCCCACTATTGAAATGTTAGCACAGAACCCAGGGACCAGCACTGAGCCCAGCGCAGGGCAGGCCTCCCCCTGATGCCCAGCTCTGGCACCTGCCTCTGCCCTGTCTCCCCATCTGTAAGCCACGGGCCGGACAAGCACCCACATCCTACAGGATGGAGCACTAGACTGGGGCTTGGCGTGCCCCAGCAATGGCACCCGGAATGCTGGTCTCCTCAGACAGACTGATGGGCAGTGCCCAGCACCCAGCGCCAGAAGCTGCTCTGTGACACAGCAAGCTGCCCGCCCCTCTTCCCAAGCCAGCTGGGGCCGCGCGAGGGGAGCCCAACAAGTGAGAATTCTGAGGCTTTGCCTTTGGAAACTGGGAAACAGACGTGAAACGCAGCGTCCACCTGCTTGAACGCACAGTGTAATCGGCTTTCCAAGGCTGCCTTCCAAGGGACGAGGAACGGCTTGTCGGCACGTCATCATCACATTGTTAAGTGGAACAGCCACAGGGTCTCTGAACTCCCATCACGCGGTTAATTATTCCTGGATTTTCCTTCACTCTTGAAACATATTCTATTTTTTTAACCATCCCCGGCAGACTGGCTGCCTTTGTCCTCCTGACACGGCCAGCAGTATAAAACCGCGTCAGCTGTCAGGTTGCTCCATGCGGAGCATAATTGCCTGATTTCCATCTGAAAGTACAGCCCTGACATCACAACGACAGGGGGACACGGGGCAGGGGGCATACGCGGTGCTGAATCCGTGTCCCGAACAGGCTCCCTCCAGAGGGGCCGGGCCTGGGTGTATAGCCACAGATGAAGTGTTCCCCGGGAACAAGAAAAAAGAGAGAGAAACAAAGAATAAGGAAAAAGCGACCGAAAGATCAGCATCAGCGGGAGTCCGGTGGGGCCAGATGGCGCTCTGTGGGGATCACGTGCCCCGCTCTCCCCGTCACCCCGATGGGCAGGCAGTGGGCCGGCTACCAGGGGAGAGAAGTGGTCTCATCCCCGGCCGGGCACATGGCTCGCCGTCTTTCTCTCGCACACAACTCGAGCTGAAGGAAAGTTGGAAAGGAAGAAAGGGTGGAAAAGAAAGGGTGTAGGACTTTGACTGCTGGAAAAACAAGGCGGTCATGGTCCAGAGGAGGGGAGACGCGACAGCCCCTGGCCAGGCCCTGGCGGGCGGGCAGCGGCACAGAGGCTCCAGGAGAAAGCCAGGTGGCAGGAGGGAGGGAGGCAGAGGAGACCTCCTGGCCTGTTACTGTGCCCTCTGCCCACATCCATGAACTCTCAGAGGGCTGCTTGGCATTCAGGAGGTTGGGAGGGGGCAGGGCATGCTGAAGACGCAGAGGAATTTGGCTCTGGGCTTCAGTGGGAAGGATGGTGGACAGTGTTTTCGAATTCTTACTAATGAAAATGTTGGGCTCTCTCCGTGGGCTGGAGGCCAGTGAGTTCGTAATGGTCCTTGGCCCGCTGGGCCAGGTCGGAAGTGGGCCAGCCGTCTGCATGGATCCCAGTCTGCTGGGCCCATCGGCTGGGCCCTGGTCTGGAGGGGGCTGGGGGCTGGAGCCAGACCTACCAGGTGGGCGGTGTGGGCAGGCTCCTCTCCTGGAAGGTTCTGAGGCGGGTCGTGGCTCAGCCTGGAGACTTTCTGCCCTCCCTGCCGGGCACAGCATTCGCTGCTCAGATGCCAAAGTCTGGTATCGGGAGTGACAGGCAGTGCGACTGCCGGATATCAGGGAGCCCCAGCTGAGCATGCTGCAGAGTAGTGTAGGTCAGGCGTCCCGTGAGCTAATCTGCTCTCTGAGCGGATGTTCACACACCCCAGCTTGGCCTGGAGGCTCCTGAGGGCTCCGACCCAGAGACGGGCTGCAGAGAAAGTGAAGGTTCCTACAGCAGGATTCTCAGCTGGCCCTGGTTGCTAGCTCACTACACATGTGTGGGCAATGCATTGTTACTGACTCTGTATAAAGAGCTCTGCCCAGTGCTCTGGGTGACACGTTGGTATGGCTGCAAGGCTGTAGGAGAGCAGAGACGAGACTGGAGTGGTGGCAGTGCTGAGGACAGAGACTGAGACAGCTGTGCAGGCAGAGAGGCCCGGGGGTCAGAGACCAGCTGGCTGCATGCAGACTCGCACTGAGTGGACAGGATTCTAGTGACTGACCTGCCACAGTGGGAATAAAGTTGGGTATAAACCCTTTCACCCCAAGAAGATTCCATTGTCATTCCCTCGGTATCTTGTCAATGGGTTTCAGCCCTGGGCAAGTTCCCTAGAGATTCAGTGTAACCAAAGAAATTGACTGCAAAACGTTCTTTGGGGTGAAAGGGTTTATTACCTGGCTTGTTCTCCCGGTGTAGGTGGAGCCCTAGCATCTGCCTCCACCCAGGGCCCTGGGCCCAGCTCGCTATATAGCCCAATAATAGCTCATTGCCTAAAGGTGTGGAAGCGGTAGCCTAGCAACAGGCCAGTCACATCATCAGGTGGTTCAAGTTCAGTGAGGATCCTGGCCAGAGGAGCCCCAACTTCCCTACACTCAGTTTCACTGAATCCATAGTGAATTTGCCCAGGGCTGAAACCCACTGGTAAGGCACGTGCCTCCCAGAAAGCCTGTCCTCTTAGGGGCTCAGGGAGCAGTCTCAGCCTGACTCAAGCTTCCCCAGGCACCTGAAGTTTGTCTCGCCTATTCTTTACTCCAAAGAAGAGATAGAAGGCTCCAGGGGGACACCAAATGTGGGGTGTAGGTGTTCATTTACAGCTGGAAACGATTATTCCAATCACAGTAAACATCGAACACAATCCTCTCCATTGTCAACCAGGGCTCGGCCTCTTCTCCACAGCTTCCAGCCAAGCACTGAACCGCGTGCCCCGGGGCCCGGGAGGCGGCCCAAGCTGCCCATGGGAAGCCAGGGCCGCTCTCCTTCCAAAGCAGAACAAAAAGCTAGCGTCTCGGAAAATGCTGCCGCCTAACAGCGTGAGGGGTCCTGGGCTGGCTTCTTGCTCACAGCTGAGCTAAATGGCCTGAAGGAAGGCATACAGGGAACAGCAAGAGCTGCGAGCCGGCCATCTTTCCTTGCCCCTAGGTTAGCAGGGAGACCATTTCATGGGAGCATTTTAAAATTAAAAATCGCCTGCATTTGAAGAGGGCTCAGTGCCAGCAGCTCTTCTACGTGCTTGTGTACATTTCATGCAAACCTCATGACACCCGATGAAGCAGGTCCTCTGATCACCCCATTTTACGGAAGGGACACTGAGGCACAGAGAGGTTAAGCAATGCTCCCAAACTGGCACAGCTGGTAAGTGGCAGAGCCCGGATCCTGACCTGGTCACGCCTGGCTCCAGGGTCCACAGCGCCAGGAAATCCAGCTCCCCTGGGTAGTAGCACCGACCAGCACGTGTCCTGCTTAGCTGACCGTCAGCACCGGCCGTGTGATTGTGGGCTAGTGAATCTCCCTGAGTCTGTTTCCTTGTCTGTCAAGTGGAAACTGCAGGGGCTGTCTTATTACCGCTCATTGCCAGGGGAAGATGTCACATGCATGCGAGACCAGTGCCTGGCATATGGGCTGATGGTGAATAATGTTAGTCGTCATTTCTGTGCTCTCGTATTTCACTGAATCCTCACCAAAAACAAAAACAAAAACAAAAAAACTAACAGCAACAACACGTAAGCCAGGTGGGGCAGCTGTCACTCACCCCGTTTTACAACTGGAGACGTCGTGGCATCAAGACCTCAAGCAGCGGGGCCTGGACAAGAACCCAGATCCCTGGACACCACGCCCTGTGCCCAGTCTGATCCTGGTTTGCGTGGCCCTGCTGAGCCGCCGGCCACACCTGCCCGTCTGCACACAGACGCAGCTGCCGTCTATGAGGACGGAGCGTGGGATTCAGCTCCCGTCACCTGCCCCCTCTGCTGCCTGTGGGATTGGGGGAGACAAGTAAGGTCCTAGCAGGGATGAGCGTATGTGTGTCCTTCAGGTTTTCTTAGCTACCTGGGTTAAGAAAAGCTTACTCTCCCGCCATCGCCAATGCCAGAGCACAGTCCGCACTCAGACCGGCTTCCCTGCCTCCCCTCTCACCCACCCCAAGCCTCTGAGAACATTCCCGGCGCACCCCGCGGCAGAGGACCCCCCACCCCTGCGGCCAGAGGCAGTGTGGAGACAGATGGCAGCTGGCCGAAGGGTCCTGGGCATCTGGCTGCACTCTGCCCTGCCTCCCACTCTTTCCTAACTCCGCCTTTCCTGTGATTTTCACATTTTACCCCCATTTTGCCTCCAGAAAGTCTCTGGGGAGTGCAGCTTTTGTTCTATTGCTCCACATAATTCCCAGGGCTGGGAATGAAAATCATTTCCTTTCACAGCCCTTGGCTGAGTGCCTTCCGCGTCCTGCTGTGTTACGGGGTGATTTATAAACTGCGGGGTCTGGGTCTCTTTCCCCTCCTCCCTCCACCCCTCCCTCCCACCATCATTGAAAACAAGACGTTGCCCACAAATAGCTCCAAGCTCAGGGTGTCCCTCGAGTGGGCCCCTGGGGCTGTTGCTTGGAGGCAGGTTTCAGTGGAACCATAGTGATGAGAGCATGAAAAACATTCACTCCTGTGGCAAGAAAACAGAAAAGGCCCACAGCCTGACATCACCTGTGAGAACAGACAAGACCCCTAGTCTCAAAGTGCAGGGGGGCTGGCTTTGAACTGAAGGGGTAAAAGCACATTGTCCAAACCTGTCAGGACTGTGTTTCGTTTCTAGACTTTTATTCTCAAAGGGACAGTGAGGAAGAGACATAGCTTTAAAAAGTTTTGAGCTGAGAGATGACAAGAAGGCACTTTTCTTTGTGGCTATAAAACTGAGTAGCGGGAAAACTAAGCTGAGGGGTTCATTTTACCCGGGTTACAACAGAGCGCAGAAACCAGAAGGCAGAGTGTCAGTGGGAAAGGGGTGCGTCTTCATCTGGGCTGAAAACCATTGTCCCGCAGCCGACTCCATGGAGTCCGGTCCTGCCCCCGGAATCCCTTCCGGTGTTGATTCGTCAGAAGCTGAAATAGAACAATGGGGTGAAGCAATTAGTCCGGCCTCAGACGGGCCTCTGCGGTCAGGGGGCCTCCTGTCTAGCCAGGCCCCAGGAAGCACGGTGTGGGCACCTCCCCTGCCTGCTGCAGAACACCTTCAGAGCCAAGGACGGAAAGGCCCAGACAGCACGCAGACCTCCACCTTGTGGCCACGTCATTTCTTTCATCCCACACTGCGTCATCTTGTCGGTCACATACCAAATCTTTACTCTGCATAGTTCACATAATAGCACCAAGACCGCGACCCGCTGGGCCCATCACACAGGCCGATGCTCACACCCAGCAAGGCCACTGTCCTTTAACCCCTCTGGACCTCATTTACCCTCATCAGAAAAGTGGGGAAATAAGGACTGCTCCTAAACCAGGCTGTGGTGATAACTAAATTAGAGGATTTATGTAAAGTTATTAACATACTCATAAAGCGGAGCACAGACTCAAAGATGTCAATTCTCATGTCTAAGTAGAAGGTCAGGGAGAAAGCCCTGGAAAGAACCACCTCTGGGCCTGATGAGGATTTAGCTCATCATGCGTAAATTGGGACTAATCCGGCAAGAAGCCGAGGTTCATAAACCCTCAAATGTGGCATTTTTAAGGGTATGAGCAAACTAGAGCTGGGTGAGTGGAGAGGTCGTCAGCTCCACGTTCGTTTCGGCCCCAGAGCACATCCTCCCCCACCTTCCCCCCCCACAATAGACAGAATCATGCTGGGCAACATTTAATGCTTTTTGGAAATTGTTAATTATTCATATGTGGGTTTTCTGTTTTGTCTTTTGCTAACTCTCTAGCAGTGTCTATTATTCCACAGGTTTTTGATCCATTGCAGTTTGAATCACAGCGTTCATGGAGGTGCTGTTTTTCTTTGAGATGCAATCACTATTATAATTTTAAAAGGAATTGCATTTTCCAAAAACACAAACAAGCAGGATAATTGATAAGGACAGTGTGTTTGGAAAGTTTGAGGTCAGTTTTGCTTTTGCGTCGCAGCAAACGATTACCGATAGAAATGCAATTGTTGCTATTGAGAAGGCGAAGCCGTCTGCTCCTGGACTATCGCTGCGCATCAGCAGTAAGGGCCACAGAACGCTCGTCACACAACACCCTCTGTGCCTTTGCTTCTCCACATGCACAAGGACCACTGAACGGTTCGTCTGTCTCCCCCTCGACGCACACCCACGACCCCGCCCCCCGCCGGCTCACCCGCGCTGTCCAGCCGCGCTGCAGGCCTGCCCTGGACCTCGTCCTCGGAGGCGCTCAGGCTCCGGACCAGAAAGTAAGTGGTCATTTTCCCTTTACCCTTCACTTCGATTTCACCTCTTTCGATTATTTCAAACCCTTGGTTTTCCAGGGCTCTGCACAGGGAGAAACACACACCAGACAGCAAAGGTCACAGGTTTGCAACTTGAGAGTGGGCTGTAAGGGGAAGGGTGACCGGGAGGTCCGGGGCCAGGGCACACACGGGGGGGATCCAGGGCACATATGGAGGAGGCCAGGACACACAACAGGGGGGCACCCAGGGCACACACGGGGGGACCCAGGGCACATATGAGGGAAGGAGGGGGCTAGGGCACACAATGGGGGGGCACCCAGGGCACACACGGGGGGACCCAGGGCACATATGAGGGAGGCCAGGACACACAACAGGGGGCACCCAGGGCACACACGGGGGGACCCAGGGCACATATGAGGGAAGGAGGGGGCTAGGGCACACAGTGGGGGGGTGCCCAGGGCACACATGGGGGGACCCAGGGCACATATGGGGGAGGGGGTGCTTCCGAGACCCCTCTCCATAGAGAGGAGGCAGGAAGCTCAGACATTCGGAGCAGGTGCTAAGGTAGTGGGATGCACAGGGGACCCACCAAAACCCTGGGACCCCATCACCACACTCCCCTCCAGCACTCCATTCCTGGCACAGCCCTCACACTGCCGCCACCCCCTCCTGGGCACTGTGTGCAGCATCCCGTGCTTCTGAGCAGGAGGCTCCCTGGATACCGGCACCTGCTTCCCACCTTCCCCAAGTATGTGTTCATCCTAACTACTTACTCCATGACTTCTGGCTGCCAACCCAAGGGGAAGACCTCAGGAGGACCGTGAAAACCCACAGAACTGTGCCGACCAGCAACGCTTCAAATTCACAGCCCTCAACCTTCCCTTGTCCGTGGCCAGTTCTGAGGGAACTTCAGACCTTCACCACGCGCCCCAAGTCCCACACTGGCACCTGCTGTCCTCACTGGAGCTGCTGAGCATGCCTCGTGCTTTGTAACCTGATTCATCTACCAAACTGCACCCATTAGAAGTGAGACGCTGCAGAGAATGAGGTGTCTGGTTCAAGGGCACCCATCCATGCGCCCTCCCCACGTCCTCCAGGCGCGGCCCCCTCAGCTACCTCTCCCCGATCTTCGCTGCCCTTTGCAGCCTCCGTCAGCCTCCTGGTGGCTAAGGTCGCTTCCATCCTAAACAGAAGCAAAAAACTTCCCACATGGTCATCTTGTGCCTTAATCCCACACAAATGCTCGCTTCCTTTTATCGTCACTGCATAACCCAGAGCCCACCCCACGTCCTAGCACCACCACTTCCGATAATGTCCCCAAACCTCTGGCGAACTTTTCCCAGGCCTTGCTACCATACTCGACATTTTTGTTCAGTCCCTCCTGCCTAAAAATGCGCACAGGGTGCTTCTCACCCTGCCCGTCCCCGGCTCCCCTCTGTCTCCTGTGACTCCAGCACCGGCCTCACTTCCTCTGTCCACCACTGACGCATTACTTTTTTGCACTGCCCTCCTCCGTGATCTTATCACCTCTCGTGGCTTCATTACCACCAGTGTGTCACTTACTCCAAGTCTGGACCCCCAGCCAACAACCTGACGCCAGATTCCATCCACCCATTTCATGGCACCTCCACCTACATGTTCCGCAGTCCCTCGAATTCAACGATGCCAAACCTGAGCACATGGTCTGCCCCTGGGGACAGCATGCTTCCTATGAGTCCCTTCTCAGGTGGACAGACTCAGGCCCGGGTCGCCCAGGGTGGAGACTGGGAGGCACTCGAGGGTCCTCCCTCCTTCTTATTTTCTCCATTTCCAGCGATTACTAAGCTTTGCTGATTTTACTTTTCCCCCAAATCCCACCACCAATGTCCCAGTTCAAACTGAACTCCATGGGGGTGCTGTCTGTCCCATTTCCTGGTGCTCAGGTCTGTCCTTCCATGGCCTGAGCAAAGTCGTGTCCGATGGGACCCTGACCTGGCCATTGTCTCGGGTCTCACATGCTTTAGGGCCCTTCCTCGCCTTCCTGGTACACCCTCGCCCCGCTGCAGGGCGCACACCACTCCCTCCATGCTCTGCTGCTATTTTCCACGCCGACTGGACTGTCTGTAGTGGGGCACTGACCCTGCATCTATGCGTCTGCTGCCTGGTTCTCGCTTCCAGCCCGGCCCCGGCTGAGCCCTGCTGGGAGAGCCTCACTCAGGACACAGCCCAGGCATGTCCTCCTCCGAGAGCATCTCTGTGCTGCGTGCCCGGCCCTGCATGGGTCCCCAGAGCACCTGCTAGCCTCCTGCAGACATGAGCATGCAGAGCGGGGCTCCGCGAAGCTCCCAGCCTGACCCCCTGGCTGTGTGCAGGTTCCTTTCCTTCCCAACCTTGTGACCCGAGGCAAGTTATTAACCCTTTTGTGGGACTTTTTCTTACCTGTAGATGAGGGTAGTAACAGCACATCTTCCTGGAGCTATTGCAACAGTAAATGAACCAGCATATTCAAAAGACTTTAGAAAGACTTACAGGTTCCCAAGAAACCATCAGTATTTTTATGCATCTTATCCTGCTTTGAAAAAAGTAATTATTTGAATATTTTGTCCTTCTTCCACCAAACTTCTTTCATAAAAGAACAGGTAGTAAGTTTTTTTGGGCTCTGCAGGCCACAGGGGCTCCTCTGCCTTTGTACCATGACGGCCGCCCTAGGCCAGGTGTAAATTAAAAAGCTTGGCTGTGTTCCAATAAAACTTTACTTACAAAAACGAGCGGCAGACTGGATTTGGCCTGTGGCTATAATTTGCCAATCCCTGCATTGGACCATATGCTCCTTGAGAGCAAATCTATCTTTGTATTGTCTGGTACAACGTCTTCTATAAATTGGCGTGGCATGGGAGAAAAAGACACCCATTTCCTCCACTCCCCCAGCGCATGGCTGCTTGACTCTGGGCATCCTGGGAGGAGGGCAGGACAAAGGCAGACGCGGATGAGGGGACGGCTACCTGTAGGTGGCAGGACTGAGGTGCACTTCGTTGGGCAGCCCGTGACTTTCCATTCTGGAAGCTGTGTTCACAGTGTCTCCAAACAGGCAGTACCGGGGCATCTTGTCCCCAACCACACCTGCTAAGACTGGTCCTGTGTGGATACCCACTCTGATCTGTAGAGAGAGAATCTCACTGAAAAGGGACCATTGAATACTCCTGCTTTTATTTTTAAACTAAGGTACAATTTACATAAAAGAAAAAGACACATCTTAAGTGTTTAGCTCCATGAGTCTTGACAGGAGCATATATCCCTGCAGCCACAATCCAGAGTGAAACACACAGTTGTTCCATTACCTAGAAAAATCACCTTTGCCCTTCCAGCTAAGCTGCATCCCTCCCTGCAGAGGTAACTGCCTTCTTATTTCTTCTACCAAAGACCCATCTGCCCGTTCTAGAACTTCACATCGATGCCCTCAAGCACTCTATTCTGTTTGGTATCAGGCTGCATTTATCCAAATTAATATTTTTGAGATTTCATCCATACTGTTACATGTATGAGTCACCCATTCTTTTATTGTGAATTCTTTTCTATTGTGAGATTATACCATGAGATTATACCACAATTTATTTATCCAGCCTTCACTTCATGAACACATGGGCTATTTCCAGTTTGAGATGTTCTGAAGTTTCTTACACAGATCTTTTTGTGGACAAATATTTTCATTTTTTCCTAGGTAAGACTAGACGTGGAATTTCTGGATCACAAGGTAGATGTATATTTAATGCTACACACACACACATGCACACACACACACAGGCATGCAAAACTTTGCCCAACAGTTTTCTAAAGTCTTTGTATCATTTTACATTCCCATCAACAATGTGACACTTCCATTACTATGCATTCCACAGCATTTGATGTTTCAGTTGGTGGAAAATGATAGCTCATTTTGGTTTTAATTTGCATTTCCCTGAGGCTAATGATTTTCATACATGTAACTTCTTATGTGAGAAGTCTGCTCAAGCTTTCTGTTAATGTAAAAAACAGGGTTATCTTTTATTGTTAATATATAGGAGTTCTCTCTCTATATATGTATACATATATATATATATAGAGAGAGAGAGAGATGTATTACAAAGATTTTTCCCATTCTGTGAATTTGTGTATTTATTTTCTTTAATAAGTAGAAAGGTTGAGTGCACCTGATGAGGGCCGAGAGCTCCTCAGCGGGGTCTCCCAGGCCCCCTGGGCCTCCTCCCTCCCATGGGCCATGCCCTGCCTGGGGAGGTCCTGCCATCCCGGGACTGGGTCTCTCCCAGCCTTCTGCTGAAGAATGCAGCACACTCTGTGGTGGCCTGTGGGAAGGCCTGGTAGGTGCATACAGGCTCCGCCCAGAATTTATCAAAGACAGGACCTTTGGGGATAGGAAATTTCCATTCCAGTCTCTGTGTGGCCACTGAAAGTTCCCTGAAATTTAGGCTGAGTTCTTGCCCTGGCCTCCAGTGGATCCCTTCTGGGGCTGCTCTGCTGGAGACGAATATAATTCAGGGCATCTCCCTTGAAAAAAGGCTTGTCACCTTCTGGAACTTAGTTCATTTCAATTTCTTTGCTGATTTCTGTCTTTAGACCACCAGTATGGGAACAGAAGCCTCCCAACCAGACTCAGTCACCTTCTCATGCTAGATTTTCTTCTCCCTGAACTAAGATTACAAATCCCTCTAGGAAAGGGGGCCTGTCCAACACCCAGTAATACTGCCACATGCACAGCAGGACCTCAGTAAATGTATTTTAAAGGCTGTGTGAATGAGACACTAATGAAAGGGCACTCATTGTAAAGCGGTCGACATGGCAGCAAAATGCTCTGGAGAGGGAAGGTTTCAGGTACTTTCCTTGGACAAACCCTCGTGATGTGCTGGTCTGGTGGGTATTTAATGATGTTCCCGTGTTCCTCTCCTTATCTTAGCTTTGACTTGAGAACATCTTTTCCTGTTTTCTTCTTGGTAAACCCACCATGAGAGCTTCCAGGAGCCCATTGTTTAATCCCACTCTCACTGGTGTAGCATCTCCGCAGCTACACCTCTCTCTCTCTCTCTCTCTCTCTCTCTCTCTCACACACACACACACCACGTTATATGCTCTTTTTACCCAACAGCATGTCTTCAATTATGTTTCTTCAGGGGCTTACATTAGAGTCCTTCAACTGAAACACTGACCTGCCACCCGACCTTCTCTCCCACCCTCCTTATCTCCCATCTCGATCACTTATTAATTATCCTGGGGGTTTTATTCAGCAGACGTGTCTGTGTGATTACAGCAGGCGAGAACTGTGGACACACTGTTCTTGGGGACACACTGTTCTTGGGGACACACTGTTCTTGCTCCTTCCCAACGCCCGCTTTTGCCCAGAAGGCGGCAGGGACGCAGTAACAGGCCCGGTGGCATTTCTCAGCTCACCTCATTGCAGGGTGGGGGTGGGGGGCATTTTCAGAATCCCCGGCACAGGGGTTTTAATTTGGAAAAATCATATTCCACTGATAATTGTCTGTATTTACTTTTAGCTGGCTGTTTAATCTATTCTGAAGGTCTGACTGCCGGGAGCGGGGAAGGGTCCGAGTTTAAAGAGCAGCGGTCCGGCACAAAGCTGTCTCAGGGCGGGGAGGGTCTGCAGAGGGCAGCAGGGTGCCTACTCTTCCTCCGCAAATGGCCCATCTCCCACCGTGTGAACGCGGCTCCGTCCTTGGAGGGCGGCTCCCTATGAGAAGATGAGCCGGCGACCACGGTGGGCCCGCGTGGGAGGAATGTGCTCCCAAGCATCTCACTGCCCCGTGGAGTTCGGGCCTCAGTTCCAACCCTGTCAGAAGGCAGGGTGGAGACACAGCCTCCCTTATTGGGGGAAAAACTGGCTTTTCCATAAACCTGAACCTCTCGTTGAAATGCTTGAATAAAAGTGCAGGAATTATAAGCCAGCTGGTTTCAAGATGGCTTGAGCCCAGCCAGGCCCCGGGGAGTGTGCCCAGCCCTGCCCTGCGTTCCGCACAAAGGCGAAGGGTTTAGGGAATCACACGGAAGTCCTGGGCTTCGGAGCGTCTGCTGAGATTCGGGAGAAGCTGGGAGAGCAGCGTCCTTACTAGCATCTGTGTCACACAGGGACACCCGCAAGGGAAGGGGAGAGCGGGGAGAAGCCACCCGCTCTGGTCCCCGCACCACACCTGACCACCGTCTGAGCAGCCAGGACACAGAATCCTGCTTTTCTGGTGAGACGGTTGGGAGGAGGCAGAGGACCCAGGGGCTGTCTACCTGGATGGGCTCCCGGGTGACAGGATTCATCACCTCTCTCGCAGACGTCCTCATTCCCAAGGCGAAGTTGGCCACTCTCTGAGCGTGGTTTCTGACGGGCACCGGGACGCCCCCCACCACCATGTAGGCGTCTCCTATGGTCTCCACCTGCAGGGGAGGGGGGTGTTCGGAGGGTTTCCTTGGTGCCCTAAAGATGTCACTAATTGACAGGCATTGACAGTTTCCACATATGCCGGGAGGGCCGTGTTCAAGCTGGTGGCGATTCACTGGGAGTTAGAGAAGCAGGATGGAAGTGAGGTGAGAACTGCCCAGGGAACAACCCCAAGAGGCCGAAAGGCTCCCCGCTGTCAGTGGACACAAGCCCCAGAGGAGAAGGGGCTCCATGTAGTCAGTCACATGACACTACGGAATAGACACACATATATATATTTTTTAGGTTAGACTGCCTGCTGAATTTAAGGAGAAGGAGAACTATTCCCTGAGGAAACCGTGTGCCCTCAGAGGCATCTAAGCCCTGGGTGTTGTGAAAGGATTCCTAGCAGCCTGAAATCCCTACAGCGGCCCCAGTTCCCTTAGCTCTTCACCCTCACCCCATCCCCACCCACGCCAGACTGGCAGAGATGGAGGCAAAGGGAGACCTGTGGCCGAGTTCCTGCCTGTGGAGCAGGTGGGGACAGCCACCCACCCGCAGCGCCCGCCCCGCGGCCCCCTCCACACCCCAAGGATGCAAGTGCCTTACTTTGTAGACCTCGTGGACGCTCGTTAACCTGTCAAACCTGGAGTACATTGAGTTCAGCATATTCACTATTTGGATCGGTTCGCAGGCAGCACAGATGTTGGTGAACGTCACCACGTCACTGAAAAGGATGGTGCAGGTCTTGAATTCTCCTGCAACACAGACCAGGCGTCAGGGTGGCCGAGGATGTAGGATGATCATCCTCTGATTCTGAATTCAAGTGCCCTTTGGCACCAAATCTGTGCCTTGGGGGAGAGGAGCCAGGCTCCATTCCCAATCTCCACCCCCGCCACAGGCATTCCCTGAGTGCCTGCGGTGAGCTGGTCATGGCGTGGGCAGGATCGTAAAGCACCGGGCAGAGCCCCTGGAGGGGGTGCCGAGGCACAGCTTGAACTTCGGGAGACCCGGGTCAGGGCCGATAGAGACCGGTCACCGTGAGGCAGTGTGTCCCCTGTCTCTGCACAGTGGGGAGCCGCCACACGCTCAGCATGTCCTCCTGACCCGTCTGGCTGCCCTGCTTCTGCCCCACTCGTGGCGATTTCCATGTGGCAGCCAGACGATCAGTTTAATTCAGATCCCCAATCCCTCTGCCTCAGACCATCCACGGCTCCCACCGCACTTAGAATAAACCACGAAATCCTTACCGGGGCCGATAAGGCCCCCTTGTCTCTGCCCCTCTCTGACCTCACATCTCCCCGCGCCCCCGCTGACCACCTCCCTTCCAACCACACTGTCCTGGGGCTCCTCCAGCATGTTAAGGGCCTCCTCCTCCCGGGGGGCCTCTGCACCTGCCGCTTTCTCTGCCTGACTCCCCCTTCTCTCAAATACCCACAGGGCTGTGTCTCACCCCTCAAACACAGCACCTCAGTGGGAACGCCCCGACACCTCCCTCTAGCATGTGGTCCCCGGACCTGTCCTCACCTGAGGGCCGCTCCCGCCCCCCGAGACTCACATGGCGCGAATGTTACGTAGGACTGCTCATCTGCTTGTGGCCCATCTCCCCCGCTGGAACAGAAGCTCCTAGAGGTGAGAGGCTGCCTGTGCCGCATCTGAAGCAGGCCTGACACACAGTAGATGCTCAGCAAGCACTTGCGGGGAGACTGGACCTGGGTGCCTCTGGCCACAAGCCTGCCTTCGTGCAGCTTGCCTGCCCATCAGCTTCTGCCCACCATTCTCTCTCCGTATTCTCCCTACCTTTCTGATCTCCTCATTTTATATATTTCACTGGCTTTTTTTTCTTTTTAAATAATATGTGTTCCCTAAGCTTTAACCCTCTCCTCTTCTCACCCCTACAGGATCTTATCCATCATTCTTAGACGCCGTGATTAACCAACGACCCTGGAATGCCTCCCAGATCGGCAGCTCGCCTAGAAGGCTCCATGGAGCCGTCCCCGCAGTCCCCACCTGCCTGTTGGCCAGCACTGTGGGGACTCCAGAGGCACTCCAAATTCAGCAGCTCTGAAGCGGACCTTACCACCCTCCCCTCGAACCTGCTGTCTGGTTCTGCCTGAGGAGAGGGGCCATGTCTTCCCATACCCGCAGCCTCGCAGTCCTTGCTGACAGTCACCTCTGCCTCCCCCGTCTTAGCAGTCGTGAAACCCTGCCGATGCTGCCTCATGCCGCCTGAACTCAGGCTTCACCGTGACTCTATGGGGTTTGAGGGGTGTCTGCCTCCCTCTCAGGCATCCACCCTGCTGCAGCCGAAATCTTATTTATAAAACTAATCATGTCACTTGCATTATAAGAAACAAGGAACTTCAGTGAATCCCCACATCTGTAATAAAAGGCAACTTCTTTTCCATGATAATATTCAGCACTAATCACCCCATCCCATCTGCCTGCCCAGCTGCAGGCACCACTGTGCTATGTACCCCATGTTCTGGGACGACACCTCAAAATGTTCACCTCGCGTTGCCTGCCTCTGCTCTGCTAGACCATTTTCCTGAGATGCCTGTTCCTTCCTTTTTTTTCTGGAATACAGACTCAAAGCCTGGCTCAAGTGCTGTACATTTTACATGAGCCTTCATAGCCCCACCCTGCCCCCGGCCCTTTCTCTCCTGACACCTCTTTATTGTAAATTTCCCTATCATCTGTATTTCTTATGCAGGGGAAAAAAATGTGGATTTTGGAGCTAGACGGACTTCTGATTGGTTTTCTGCCCTTTTACTCATAAACTGGCGCAAACATAAATTCACTCAGCTGTTCTGGATAATAACACCTCCCTCACAGAAATGGTCAGAACATTAAACGAAACAGCATATGCGACATGTCTAACACAGATCCCAGCACAATAATCACCCCTGCTGCATGTGGGCTCCCTCCCCTCTGTCCACCCCGCCCGTTAATTTACCCTGTTTATATCTGTCAGACACACAAGACTGTGAACCCCTTGGGTGCCCGGGACCTGGGACAGCATGGTGCCTGTACGTTCACAGTGCACGTCTGGCTACTGAATGTTCCACCATGACAAACAGGGAATGAGCGCACAGCCAGACAGGCCGCCCTCCCTCCAGAAATGGCTGTTGCTCTCCCTGCATGGTCTGTAGGGCACCCCGTGATTCAGCTGACATGTGGGTGTGTTGGTCCCACTCACGGTGAAGAAACCTGATCACTGTAAGAGCTGAGCAGAGGCCGTCTCAGGACACAGCTTTCCACCCTTAGAGAACGTAATGTATGTGGAAATGGCTGACAGGCATTTCTATTTAATCTGTATTTCTTTCTGGTATTTTTTGTTTCTCTCAATGAAGAGAGAAGACTGAAGATGTGCAGCATAAGTAATCAGCCCAAGACCACGTGGCCAACAAGCGATGGCGCCAGAGTTCAAACCCAGCCCCTCCTGGTTTCAGAGCCGAGCCCCTGACCTCTTGGTCCCCGGGAGGAGGGCCCCACCTGCAGCGACCTTTTCTCCTTCCTTCAGCTGGTTGGCCACGTGCTCGGGCAGCATGGCATAAAGCAGGGTCTCCGTCTTCTTCTTTTCGGCGGCCAGGTGCCTGGAGAGGACCCGCAGCTCCTCCTTTTTCCGCTCCAGCTGGGTGGACAGCTCCATCTCGGCCAGCCGCTGCTGGTTCAGGAGGATGAGGTCCCTGGTGGTGTCGTGAGGCGCGATGTCGGACAGATGCATCCCGTGCTCCTCCAGCTCGCGCAGGCTGCGGAGCTTCGGGGAGCACATGTACACCATGCACCGCGTGGGCGCCATCCAGATCATCTGGCCTTCCCGTCCGGGAGAGAAGTCGACATTGGGGCGCGTCAGCAGCAGGAGGCGGCGGAACAGATCGCCAAGCTCTCGTGCCCACTGCCCGGCCCCCCTCCTTCCGTTTGGCCAGACTTCCTGAGACTTATCTGTGCTGCCATCTCCCCCTCTCTCCACAGCAGCTTTTCTTGCTTCCAGGCAGCCCCCATCCGTGGCCGCTCAGCTCCCCACCCAACACACGTCTGCCAGCCCCTTCCGTGCCAGCCCTTCTGCCGTTTGAGGACATTCAGCAGACCCTCCTCCCTGACGCTGCTTTCTCTCTGAGATTTCCCCCACTTCTTCCCATTTTTCTTATAGTTTTGTCTGCTCATTTTCCTTAAATGTTCTCCTTAAATGTCAGTGTTCCCCAGGGATCTGTCGTGGTGTTCTCCCCTTCCGCAGTCCATGGTGGCATCCACACCATGCTAGCGGTGAATCTGAATTGCCAGAGAAACTTGGCTTGCATGGAACCAGGTGCATGTTTCTTTAAAAGTAGGTTTGTTATCCTACCATAAAAGCAGCACACATTCATTGCAAAACAATGAAAAAGTGGAAGAAAATAATAAAATGACCTGTAATCACACCCCACAATTACCAAAAAATATGGTTACCGGGCGTCTTCACTCTGTGACCTGGACTTTCCCCTTCAGGTTTATAATAGATATAATCTTCCATAGCATTAAGTGTAGATATGCACTGTATGTTTTACTGGCCACATTGATTATGTTATATCTTATTAAAGCAATAAGCTAGCATTGATTATACCATGCGTTTTTTGTCATTTTTATGAACAATGTTGCAATGGCCAAGCTCCAGGTAAGTCATTGTGTATAAATGTGACTATTTTGTTAAAGGATATAATCTCAGAAGTGGAATTACTCAGACCCTCCATGTCTGCAGCCTGAATCCTCATCTGCCAGTGTCACCCCCCACCACCCCTTCTACGACTCACCCGGGTTCCCAGAACACAGCATTTTCTTCTATGGTGCCTCTGCCCGTGTTTACACCTGAAATACTGAACTGTCCATCTAACGGATGTGTGCCCCTTACACTCTACACAAAAACTAACTTCCAGTTTCTTGAGGAAATCGGAAAACCACCTCTTCCCTTTCTGACCAGCTACCCAAATGGTTGAGCAATGGGACAGGGCACGTCACTACCTCGGAGTTTGAGCGTGGGCTGGCTTTTCCAAGCTTTAGGCATCATTTCTCTTCGTGCCTTCAGGACAAACTGGCTGTTGATAAATTTGCAGATGCTGAATATGTCGAAGGTGACTTGGGGATGAATGATGGAGAAATACTCGTCTAATCGGATCTTCTGGGTTAGGAGTCCTGGGACATACTTCTGGATATTCACTCCAGCTTGCTTGATCCTTAGCTATCCACAGGGGACAGGCGTAAGACCGGGGCCTAGGGAGCAACCTGCCCATCAACTTTCCCTTGGAAATACTATCCTGGCCTTGCTGGGTGACTCACTGCGGGGGGAGAGGGAGGGACCGGCAATGGAATAAACACTTGGAAGAATTACGTTACAAACCGAAGCTGTGGCTCACCTCCGAAGGAGAAAAGCCATCTCTCTGCATAATCAATACAGTTGACAAGGAACAGGTCAGACTTCCCACTTGGGCTAACTAGCTCCTCCCCAGCTCTGAGACTGCCCGCTCTCTCTGCCCCTGGTCCTCCTCCCACTCTTGAGAATTAATCAGCAAAGAAACCAGCAAATGCACCAGGCCTGGGTGAGGGAGTCCACCATGGAGGCGAGGAGGCCTTACCACCATCCCTAGGGAACACACAGAAGGAAGGGCAGAATGAGTTTCCTCTGCCCAGTGTCCAAAGCCAGCACAGGCTGTCCAGGACTTAACTTTGCAGCCATGTGGACTCTGCTAAGCTATAGAAAACAACCTAACTTTACAGAATAAGTATCATTAAGCTCCCTGTTAGGTTAGGCCCAAAACTGAAAAAGGAGTAGATTAGAATTTTAAATATTATTGTAGCAATAACGATATGCTCCTGGCATTGTGGAAAAGTCGAGGTGCACCGCTTTCAAATGCTCTGGTTGTTTCTTGCAGGGCTGTTTGATTTCTCAGGTCAGCTCATGGCAAGCAGAGAGGACCTTATATGAGAAATGATGCTGCTGAATCTGTACCCAGCAGCCAACTGGTCAGCATTGATTCAGCATGTCTCTGCGTTCAAGTAAACATCAGAGAAAATCACGAGGGCTGAAGGCATTTTAACTGATTTTCCAGCCAAATTGTCCTTTCAGCGAATTCATAATCAATGCAGTTGACATGTATTTTTTATCCAAGGAAATGATAATGATCTGATGGCACCTGCTGTGGGCCCCCTGCCAGCCCATCCGAGTGGGCACAGGCCTCTGCCCACCTTCAAGGGGCAGAGGGTGGAGTGTGGTGGGAGCAAGACAGCACAGGGCAGTGAGTGGTCTCGTTTAGAATTCCACCCTGATGTCCCTGTTGGCATCTTTTGTCTCGGGGTGTAGGGAATTTTAGGGTCACTCCCTTTTTAGCTAATGACAGACTTTCTCATGCGCTCCCTCACTCAAAGTCCATGGTCCGGAGCCTTCCACACCTGCCAAGATACTGCACTCTGTTTATGGAGGCTGCCACAATGGAAAGGAAGTGGTGCCAGGCTAAATCCTAGCCTCGCAGACCCTGCAGACTCCTCAGGGACCTGAAAGTCCCTGCCAGCCCTTAAGGACTATAGAATGTGGCCTCCCCCAAGCCTGTCCCCAGTCCAAACTACAGAGGGAAAGAGCCTCTTACGGATTCATCAAAGACAATGTGGAAAGGAACTGCGCTGCAGAAGGTCTTCTCATCAATCCAGAGCCGCTCGGGATAAATCGGCATGAAGGTGTTCATGAGACGTCCTGGATGTAGTAGAAGAGGGTCAAGTTCACAGGCAACTCACACCCTCAACCTGGCACAGAGCAGAGCTCTGGGCGGTACCTTAAATGCTTCCCAGGCAAAGTGCCGTCCCTGCCCCCTATCCTGGGCTCCTCCGCATCTCCAGACGGCCACAGCAATTTTTCTTTCAAATTAAAACAAACAGAAAACTCACCACCAGGTTGAGAAGCCCGCTGCCAACACCCCACCCTGCCAAGTTTCTGCCCACTGCTGAAAAGTTTCTGGGCCGACTGAGTGGGTCTCGCCACAGAAACAGCCAGCATTGAGATGGTGACAGCCAGACAATGAGCCAGCGAGCCGAGCGTGTGTGCCCAGCCCGGCGTCAGAGATGTTTGTCAGGGAGCCTTTTAGACGGACAGTTTGGGGTGGCACATGAAAGTTTAACTAACAGCCCTATTTGGTGGTGGGCAGAGATTCAAAACAGAGCCGTTTTGATATGAAAATCCCATAGACAAAGGGTGTCAGTTGCAGGTTTGATGGCCTGGTGGCTCCAGCGGCTCAGTGCGGCCCTGGAGCTCTGCAACTTCCTCCCAGGCTCCGTCGTCTGGCCCCTCCCGGGTGGTGAGGCCTCTAGCGCTCTCTCCCAGCGGGCCGGAGCTCTCGTTCTGACTCAGTGTGCCGAACCGCAGCCCGGCCCAGGGCCCGCAGGGCCACTAGCAGGAGCCTGCTGCCTGCCTTTTCGGTGGGAGATGGAGGACCTTGTCCATGGTCATACAGCTCCTCAGGGACAGAGCCTGAAATCTGCTCTCTTGGCTGCTGGTCCAGTGTCCTCTGCACTACTGGGCACGAGTGTTATTCACAGACTGCTGGCTGGAAATGCACCCAGGCCAGAAGGCCTGAGGCGCTGTGGAGAATCCATTGTTCTTGGTAAGTGGCTGCACCCATCCCCTTTTCCTTGTACACATTTGCCAAGTGGACCAGTACTGACCCTCTCCAGGGGTGTTCCCTGATTACAGGGGAGGCCCAGCACGAATAAAAGGGGCAAAGCAGGCAGGGGAGAGAACGACATTTCTAAGTCAAAAACCACGCCTGCCAATCCAGCTGTGCAGAAATCATGACACCACAGCCATCAAAGCCTTTGCCCCCTGGGTGTGCACCTCGCAGCTGCTCTGCTCTGAGAAGCGAAACCGAGGTCAGGGGAACAGCCCGCTCACCTTCCCCAAGCCTGAGTGCACTTCTCACAGCCTCCCAGCGGGATCTCCTCACAGGACCAGCAGAGACACTCCAGTACCTCTCCTTCATCCTAAGGAAGGCTGCCTCCAGGGCCTGCAGAGGCAGGGAGAGAGATGCTCAAGCCAGAGGACCAGCAAGGCCTTCACAAGATCCCCTTTAGCGAGACTGGTAAGCCCCCAGGTTTTCATCCAGTTTCTCTGCCAGAGGCAGCAAGAACTTTTTACAAAATCTCAGGGGTCAGGGGGTGCTGTCAGGAAGGTCATACATGAATATCTCCTCTTCCCGTGGCTGGAGTCTCTGCAGTGAATCGCCCTGAGGGGGCTTTGAATGCCCTAAGACACGAACATCGTGCCCTCCAGGAATCACAGACTCAGCTGGTATCTGTACAAGCTACGTGGACACAGAGAGCCACGCACCCAACAGATGTGGTCACTCCGCAGGCTGCAGTTGGGGCAGCCAGCCACAGGATCTTAAGCTGACTGCAGAGGCCTGACGGGCACCAGCTGCAGAGGTGGAGTCTCAGGACTTGAAAAGTCTGTAGATTTTAGGAGGATTGCAAAATAAGGCACCAGATCCAAATTTCAGGCATAATGATATTTTTATAGGTAAAAATGTTCCAGGCCAGGTCCATCCCAGAAAAACATTCTGCCAATGTTTATCTAAGTTATCTTAACCCAGAGGTTCTCATGGGAGAGATTTGTCCCCTACCCTTGCCCTAGGGACCTTTGGCAATGCCTGGAGACATTTTTTTATTGCCATGAATGGGGGCAGGTGCTGTTAGCACATCGCAGGTAGACCAGGGGTGTTAACTAAACATGCACAGGACAGCCCATTGTAACATAGAATTTTCTGGTGCAAAATGTCAATAGAGCTGAAACTGAGAAACCCTCCTTAGGTAACCATAAGGTCCATTTGATTCTGCTCTTTGCACAGATTGTGCTAATTTATTCCAAGAGTGGCAGCCTCGTGGTGTCTGGATGTACTGTCTTGGAGCCTGTCTGTCTGTGCCCCTCACCTGTCTGCGGGGCTTCTGCACAATCAGAAACACAACGTGCTCCTTCTTCCCCGTCCTCTCCTCCTCCTGATTCATGCCAAGGACATCCATGGTCACGTCAATGTCAAAGAAGTCTCTGGCCACAGCCTCAAGGATGCCTGCAGCAGAAGGACATGTGAGTGTCTCAGTAAGAGTGACCCGGGCAGCTGTGTGAGCGGAAGTCATAAAACCATCTAGGGACAACGTCGGGTGAATGTTCCAGGGCTCACCCAGCCCAGCCCTGCGTCAAACAGGCAGATGAATCCAGTTTAGAAACAAAGTGAGCCTCAGGTAGAGGCTTAAGCTGCACATGGCTGGATTCCAAATATATCCCTGCCTCCTGCTTTTAGTTCATTATCTGTTTATTCACTTCAGAAACATATTTAACTCACTAAACGAGGAAGTGAACGAACTCTGGAGATAATCTGAGTGAAATCCAGTTGTAAAAACAGGAAGGACTGTGTATTAAAAAGTTTCCCTTGGGGATCTGTCCCGGGGTCACACGGTGAACTTGGGAATAGCCTGCATGAAGGTGTTTGTCTCACCACTGTTTACAGTAGCAAAGGAGAACTAAAAATCCAGCAGTGAGCTAGTTAATTACTAAGAAATGTTGGCAAGCCACTGAGTGTGACTTTAAAGACTATGAAAACATGGAAGGATGTTTTTTCTACAATGCTGAATACAAAACAAGTCGATACAAAATAATATTTGCAGTTATCACAGCTATGTAGAAACTCACATAATTAAAAATGTTGAAATAAAAATGGAACATATCCCTTTGTTTGGCACTATGGAAAATTACTGTAAGGCTCAAAGACTTTGGGAGTGACGGTCGAGATGCCAAAGAGTCAGACCCCAGAAGAGCGGGGCTGGCTGCCGGCCACGGTGGGGCATCGGCGGGGCATCGACCTCGCTCTGAGGCCTCACGGCTCTGGCGATGCCCTTCCCATACCTGGCACAATGTGGCACAGACCCCTCCGGTCAGAGTAGTAGTGCAGGAGCGTTTTCCCATCTACTCCTCTCTCCACACGGAACGACGGTGCGTTCATCTCCTAATGAAAAGACACAGCAGGTTTTTCCCATGAGTTGTTCAGTCATGCTTATGAGGCTCGGTGAAGCCACAGAGCTTACCCAACACACCACACAGAATTTCATCTCCCACTCTCTCCCGAGACATAAAAATAAAATCTACCATGGTTTTGACCCCTATATGTCGGGAATTTTGTATTATACCTAATCCCCTAACACAGCACATATGACTTCCCCAGGATCACACGGCCAGTATGTCAGAGCTGGTCTGCAGCCTGATCGGCCCACCAGACCCCGGCGCCAGGGCTCTTTCCACCCCCTTTGTTCTTGAGAAGTTCGCACCGTAGCATCAGGATAGACCAGCTCCTCCCGTTTAATACCTACAAGGGTGCACCCTCTTGGGGCACGTCGGCAAACCTAACCCCACTCTATCCCCATGACAATCCTTCAGCAGAGGCTGTGAGCATTAAACTTAGAAATGGTGGAGAAAGAGCTTGATAAACTCTTAAGGGCCCTAAAAATAAACTATTCTGTGTAACATAATAAATTCTTATTATGAGATGCGTAAAAGCTACTTTGCCTTTTCAGAAAAAAACATTTTCTTCTCTAAAAAGGAAAACGGAGTCAGGCATTTGAATTTCCAGTGATCTCTACAAACCAGAAAGCCAAGGAATGACCTCTGGAAGGACGCGTCCCAATAGGGGAATCAGTCTCCTGACCCCTCAGGCAGCGCCCCCGCGGGTCATTCAGGGTCGGGTTTCCGATTCTGGCCCTGCTGAGTCTTTCCTTCAGATACGTGAATGAATGAAGTTGGCTGTACAAGCTGTTTATCAGCTCTTCCCAGGCCAGGGAGCCTGAGGAGAGGTTTTGCGAATCCACAGGGCCCTTATTGCCCCCCGCCTTTGTTCCTGTTGTAATCAATCTTCTAGATTCAATTCCAAACCCGCAGGAGCCGCTCTCAGAACAGGCCATCCCTGCACAAAGCCCACCTTTCCAATCTGCCCTGCTTGGATGCTGCCCTGCTATAAGCAGCTTATAGATGTAGCCAACAGGGGCCCCTTTCCCATTCCTGTCCCCAGGGAACCCCTGACACCTGGCACCAAGGGGCCCACAGGTGCCTGCACCTGCTCCCTCTCGGCAGAGGCAGGACATGGCCCAGGACTGCTACGGGCACTTGCTTCCCCTCAGAGCCATCAAGACCAGGCTCAGACAGCCTTACCTGATAAGAGAGCGCCAGGTAGCTGTGGAGGGCATCTAGGTTTTCGATAAACTCTGTGAGATTTCCTCCCAGGGTCCGTAACATCCTGTCGTAACCAGACATCTTGCAGAATTTAAAGAAGTGCTGTCCAAAGAGCTTCAGGAGGGCCTCCATGGAGACACCTGTGGGATGCAAAGCACACCCCCAGATCAGAGCCCCTACAGAGTGATTGTTCTCACCTGGACAGTCATTTATTTCCAAGGAGCTCCAGTCCTGGCAGTGTGGTGGGTCCTCGAACTTCCCTCTAAGGCTTCACTGTTTCAGAGCAGAATGCCAGTATCAGCATCTAGATCGTGGGGCCACCGGGAGTGGCCCAGTGCAGCCCTGGCACCTGGAAGGTGCTCAAGAAACACGAGACCCCCTAACCCTACCCAGTCTCTTCTGCAGCCCAGAAGTGGACGGGAAGCTGTCAGATGGTTGAATCCGGCTCCCAGAACAAGGTTCACTCCGGGCAGGGCAATCTCCCTGCCATCTCTAGATATCTTTAAATACAACGGCCTTAAAGCAGGATGAAAAGTGTCTTTGCCAATTGGCTTCAGCCCCGAAATCCAAGTTCACTATGGATTGAACTTGAACTTAGAAACGGTGTCTTTCAGACCACACCCCAGGGGAGTCAGGATGCGGAGAGGATGAGAGAGGCAGAAAGGGGAAGTCGTCACAAGCATTTGGTACCATCTTTGGGGGGAAACCAGGATGATCTAAGTTTGTTGGTATTGGTTTTTAGTTGCTGGATCAGTTATTTCTGAGGTGGCTTTTTGTGGATAAAATGAGAGTTCCTGTGGCCAGGATTCTCACCTGACCCTGGTTGACCAGCTCACTGCACACCTGCAGGCAATACATCGCTGTTGACTCTGTATAAAGAGCCCTACCCAGTGCTCTGGGCGACACGGTGGCAGGGCTGCAGGGCTGCAGGAGAGCAGAGCAGAGGCTGGAATGATGGCAGAGCTGAGGACAGAGGCCCAGAGGGCGGCTGTATGGACAGAGTGGCCCAGAAGCAGAGACCGGCTTGCTGCCTGCAGACTAGCTCTGAGTGAACTGGATTCTAGTGACTGACCTGCCACTGTGGAAATAAAGTTGGGTATAACCCTTTCACCCCAAGAACGTTCTACTGTCATTTCTTCGGTCACACTGAATCCATAGTGAACTTGCCCAGGGCTGAAACCCATTGGTAAGACAGCCTGAATATCCCAGGTCCCACTGAATTGTTCTCCTAAGGGCCACGTTTTTCTTTTCTTCTGAACTGTGTGACCGTTCTGAAGGGCAGGCACCTCGTTCCACGTGTTTCCTGTGCTAGAGACAAACTTGGTGCACCATGAGTGCCTGGGGGTGGGCCCTGGACCCCCGCCCCAGCCGTGCTCAGGTTGGACAGACAGTGTGTGAAGGACGCTTCCCGGAGAGGCGGAAGTGTTTGCAAGGATATGTTATACTCCCTGAAAAATGCAGTGAGCAGTTATTAGACTCACTGCCAACATCTTGAAAAACAAATGGTCTTCCTATCATGTCCCCTTTACAGGTGAGCCCGTCAAAGCTGACAGTTATCTTTGTGAATTGACCCAAGTCGCTCAGGGTGGCAGAGACTCTAACTCTAAATTCGGCACTAGCCTCTGGAGAAGCAGTCAGAGAAACAAGGGTCTCCTGCAAGGTGGGGCTGCTTACAGGTTTTCACCATGGACAAAGGAGACAGGCACCCATCCATGCTGGTGGCCTGCCTGCATCTGCGTGAGAGAACATTCTCAGGTTTACAATGGTGTGGTAACTCACAGTTGGTCCTGGGGTTGCAGGAAGGCCTGGCATGCCCAGGTTTTCTGGAGACCCACAAGGTTCACCATCCCCAAGGATCTTGGCTGGATCCTTGAGGGGCCCTACGATGCCCTGGAATTGGCCGGGTCTGCAGTTCACACAAAGGCGTTCCAGATCTCTTGAGCTGTCTACCACCAATGCCTACCGGGGTGGCAGGCAAACCGAGTCGGGCGGATACTGTCCAGCCTCTGCTTGCTTCCTGAGATGGTCTAAGCAGCAGATTCCCTATGGTTCACTGTTCACAGCTGTATCATTGGGCAACTAATTGTTCTGCAGTCTGAGCAGGATGGAGTCCCCACTGAGGTGGGGTGATCTTGTCAAAGATGAGTACATATAGCCCCAAAGTGAATTATCCAGGTCTTTTGAATCAAGACAAAGCTTGGGGTGATAGGAGGCGAGGTCTAACAGCCTGTGTCACTGGCCTCTGTCGGTCCTCTGCGGTCCTACCCTAGCTGGACACCGGCAAGCTTGTCTGTAGCAGCAATCAAGAGCCACCTGCTCACCCCCAAAGGGAACTGAAATAAATCCCACTCCAGTCCTTTCCAGTGCCTGTGAGTCCTGGGAGGCGAAGAGAACATGACCAGGCTGCTCCTTCCCCGCCTCCCTCCACCCCTCCTTTCCTGCCAAGTCCAGCTTGTTTGAGCAGAGGAAATAGAGCTGTGCCCGTGCACCCCAGTGTCCTGTGACCTGCCAGGGGGGCACAGATCTCAGAGCCGCCCTTCTCACAGGCACCCCTCTCAGGAGGACTGGGCCATCACAGGCTGAGCAGCTAGGGTTATATGACCGGGTCAGCCTTGCACAGAAAGCCTGCCTGCTTGGCTTTTCATCTAAGTCTGTAAGCCCACAAAGATCCATGACATCACCTGTTGCAGAGCCTGGCTGTTCGGTCCTGGGTGCCCAGCTCCGTCAGTGGGAGCAGCAGGTGGGCTCAGAGACTCACGGGCCTTCAGCGCAGGTCCCGGGGTCGGGTGTGGCGGTTTCCATCCGGCTGGGTTTGGAGTGCTTCTAGGGTTCTGGGCTGAGAACGCTTGGCTCCAGAGGACAAAGTCACTTTGTAAAATCCGCATCTGCATCATGTCATTCCCCTGCCTCAGTGAGCCAAGCCGGGACCCCATGAGTCTGGGTCACAGAGGGTCTGAGTTACATAGCCAAAGGTGAGGAAATGCAGAAGGGGAGTGAGCCCAAGGTTTACTGAGGTTGCAAAGGAGAACCTGCAGCATGCTCAGTGCTCTATCCTTCATGTAGCAAATGATTGGAAATATGCACCTGTCTGCTTATTTGTGCAGAATTAAGCCCCAGAGGGATAAACCGAGGACCGCTGGGGCTGGTCACATACAAGGCCTTGGTGCGAGTGGGGGGAGGTAAGGAAACAGCAGAGCAGAGGCCCTGGCTCTGCTCCGAGCTGACTTTCTGGACAGCTCTGGTTTGGGGAATCATGTTAATGACTCATATACTTAAAAATTTTTTAAATAAGGTCAATAAGGAGAGGGCAAACACTAAGAATATATACAGAAACAGAGTAACAGAACAACATTTCAACAGGACAGTTTTGAGTGACCGAAGTATCCGGGAAAAAGTCAGCCCAGTGATATGTGAACACAGCAGTTAGACTGCTTTGTCCTCAGACCACAGACAAAACAAAACACCTTTAACAACCATTTGAGCGTGGTTGGTAGGCTCAACCCGCAGTGGTGCTGGTCGGCAATTCTGAAATGACTTTCTGAACATTGGAGGATTAAGCATACAGGCAGGCATGTTGTGGATAACGGCAACCAGGTTGCTCACTGAGTGAGGATGAATTACAGTTACAGAACAGGGAAGCGCAGCAGGAAGCCTGGGGTGAGACCAGGAAATCTACCATAAAGGGCCACGAACCGCATCACGGTGTAGATGGCGAGCTGACAGGGAGACAGACACAGCAGAGAGTGAAGCACGTGCTCGTGTCTGTTGGGGCTCCCCTGGAGAAACGGCAGATCTTAGGGCTGAAGCAGGGAAAGGAAAAGAGGAATCCGGAACACCTTGTCATGCCAGAAAGCGGAGCAAGCCCAGACGGATGGCGGCGCGTCTAAAGGACGCGAGGGCCAGTTTGGAGGGGCTCCTGCCGGTGACTTTGGAGAATTTGAGCATCAGGATAACTAATGAAAGTAAAGAGTGCAGCCAATTAGAAAAATAAGAATCAAGAGCTCACACTGATTTAAGTATATAAATGCGGGAGCGAAGTAGAAATCCAGTGAATAGACGTTAAGCAGTGGAGGAAAGGCATGCTTAGGAGACCCCTGCTTGACCACCCTCAAGATGGTCACTCCAGGCAAGAGTCACCAAGGAACAGTGACAGTGGGAAAGGAGGGACCTGGGGTGCCCCTGGGTCCGTACCTAGGCTGGGAGTATCTTCTCACAAGACACCAACCACAAAGAGACAGACAATGACCTCACGGCAGAGAGATCCGGCAGGTTCCACCTTAACCGAGCGACCAGTCACCGCCCACCACGGGGGCAAACAGCAGGACATGCCCCAGAAGTGCTGACCTTCCTGCCGAAGGAGCAGAGCCTAAATTAGATGGTGAGGAAGGACCAGGTGATCCTGAGCTGAGGGGCATTCGACAAATAGCTTTCCAAATGCCTGACCAGAACCTTCCAAGGAAATCGGCATCACAGAACACGAGGACCCAGGGGCTATTCCAGACGGTGAAGCCCAGATGTGACAAGCGGCCTGACCAAGGGCTTCCTTTTGTTCTGAAGGAGGCCGTGGAGACAACTGGAAAATCCTCGCTAAAGGTCAGGCAGTCGCAATATCTCAACATTCATCTCCCCCGTTGGGTAGTCGTGCCGTAGAGAACGTTTAGGGATGAAGAGACATCATATCTGCAACACACTAACAATTCAGGGGAAAAATTACAGATACAGAGAGAAGAATAAAGCTAATGTGGGAAGGTGCTGACACTTGGGGACTGTGGGTGAGGAGTACATGGGGAGTCTTTGTAACTATTCTCACAAACCTTCTGTGAGTTCGCAATTCTGTTACAGTAAGAAGTGTTCACTGATTGTCCCGAAAAGACCTCAGGAAATCTAGTCCAGTAAGACCTCAAAGACCACATCCATCCACAGCCAGTGAGGCACAGCTGGACCCTGAGACCCTGGCACACTACAGATTTTGCTGGGTATAATCAGGGCATCACGATTATGTTTTAAAATGTCTTTATCCTGTTAGAGACTCATACTGAAATATTTACTGGTGAAATTATGGGAAACCTGAGATTTGCTTTAGGACATTCCAGCAAAAACGAAACCAGAAGAAGGGTGGTGGTGAAATAAGATTGTCAAAACAGCAAGGCTTACTGGAGCTGGGTGAGGGGCATGCAGGCTTCAGGGCACAGGTCTACTTCTACGCATATGTAAAAGACTCTGTTAAAAAGTGTTTTTGTTTTTTGAAATAGATGACTTCCCTGTCATCTCCTTCTGGACCAAGGCCTACAGGCTGCCCAGCCCAGGGCACACCAGGGCCTTGCATACGTGGATGTAAAACGGAACAAGATAGTGCCTGTGTGGCTCAAAAGGCATACCCAAATTGTAATCACATACACTAACAGGTTAAAAATTGACATCTAAGAAAATGAAACATAAAATCTCTTTGGCAGCTGTGGTAGAGAAGGAGCCTGAGTGGGTCACCAGCCGAGTCTGGACACAGGTGTCCAGGCCCCGGCCCCCAAGGCACCAGGGCGCTGTGAGAGCAACACGCTGGGGTCAGACCCTGGCCTGAAAGCCTGGGTCCACGAGCTGTTTGACAGACCAAGCTACACACACACCTCCCAGGCACCTGCGTCAGAGAGTCCCTGCACAGGCTGGACGGGGCAGGGTGGGGTTAGCAGGTGCCCACGGTTCTAGAAACCCTCCCGGGAAGCTCTTTGGAAGGGGCAATGGTGCAATTGCTGGGAGGCCTGCCTCCCAGCCCAGGGTCACCTGGAGACAGGCTGCACACCGGCTTAGCAGGCACCTGGGAGACGTGGCTTCTCTTAGAGCCGGGCTCCGGGAGCTGATGGAGCAGACAGGCTTCTCGCTCCAGCGCCTACGTCCTGTCTCAGGCACAGCTCAGCTGGGCTACTGGAGGTGCAGGGGGCAAATGACAGGGGAGCAACACACGTGTGTGTGGTAGGGATGACCCCTCGGTGCCCCAGACTCCCCCCAGCTCGTTGTCACCACCGCACCTTGGCCACCCCGCCGGCCCCTGCTTGACTCTGCGGGTCTGAGTCCAGCCAGTGCAGCAGAGGAGCAAGGTAGCAGGCAGCCCCTGGCTGCAGAGCACGTGCTGCTCACGCATGCTCCCCTCCCCAGGCCTCAGTGGCCCCCCACTCCCAGCTTCTCAGAGACTTGGGGCTTCTCCCAGAGGCAGACTCCCGAAGGTTTCTGGCGTCCAGCAGATGAGCCGGAGCGTGAGACACACAGTACCAGCCCCACCTGCATGGGGACTGTTTATTTTCATCAGAGAATTTCTCTGAAATTCAAAGGAAGGAGGAATAAGCTCAAGGCCTCACCCGGCACGGGCACATTGCACATCCCTGCTGCAGTCCGGAGAAGCCCCATCTCTGCAGGCTTGGTCACTGTGCACCTGAGGCCGGGTTTTCCCTCAGCTTCTGAGGACTGCAGGCCAATTGCCGGGCCTCAGAGACACAGTGAAAACGCCCATTCAGGCATGTGTTACATGGCCATGAGCCCAGGGTCAGTGACCCAGGACACATTCAAACAGGTATCTTTAAACCGAAACACACACAACAAGCCCATGCATTTATCTGCTCAGGAAAATGCTGTGATCGGACGCTCTCGGGAACTTACTTCTGAAGATGCCCCAGGAGCAATGGCTCAGGGTTTGCTGATTCAGGGCCCACAGAGACCTTAGAACAGGACTGTCATGAACAATGAGGATCCACTTGCTTAGCTACAGAGTCCTTTCCGACTTACCCAGGATCCGGCAGGCCTCCTGGATGAGCGACATGGTGATGACGTCGTCATACACTGTGTAGGTCAGGAAGCCTTCCTGCACCTGTGCAGAAGCTCTGCAAGGTAAACGGGGACAGTGAAACAGCAGCAGCTGGAGCTTTGCCTCGAGAATATATGCCCGACCGCGAGATTGAATGGCGCAATACCCCCCGACCGTGAAGCAGTGGCGGGTTCGTGAGTGCCTCCAGGAGGTCTTCCTGAGATGCCAGCTGCTTCTCAAGCACCCACAGGAGGCTCCGGTTTTCCCCAGCTGATCTTAAGGTCATCACTCTCACCCCCAGATCTTGGGCATTGTGACTGATTTTTGCCTTTGAGCCCCAGCCAGTAGCTCTGTGCCCAGGGCGGGTGCAGAACCTGACGCAGGGCAGTTCAGGGTTATGGACCTCGTCCCCTGAAGCAGACAGAACCTCACTGTCTTGCAATGTGGCCATCTGAGCCCCTGGTGGATGCTAGTCTTGCAGCAGCTACCAGACCTGGTGAGTAGGCTTCACTGGTAGTCAGAGGGCCTGCTGCCTCCGTGAACCCGGAAGCTGTGGTCAGCAAGTCAGGCAGTTCAGGGCAAAGAGGCTGAGCAGGGATTGCTTCCCTGAGATGAGGACCGACAGGCAAGGAAAAGCCTTCTGGACAGAGATGTGGGCTTGGGGGCAGCACGGACAGTGTCTGGAGAGCCGAGGAGAGAACAGAACATCCGAGTTTACCCCAGAGCACATCCCAGAATCCTGGAACAGGGAGAGGTGTGAGATCTCCTAATCCAGTTTCCTGTCCGATGAATCTGGCCTTCTGGCTCCTTCTCAAGCACGTCAGTGACGAGGGGCTGGCTCCCCTGCGAGGACGCGCCCTCCATGCACCCACTGCTCCCTTCGATAGAAAGCTGTCTTAGGCTGTACCGAAACCTGTTTCTGGACCCTGATAATACCTTTTGTTTATTGAGCACCTGCCTTTGGCCAAAGAGATGCCTTATTTCTGATGGTCCCCTTTAGTGTCGAGGACACTGATGCTCAGAGACAGCTCACCGCCGTCACTCAGGGGACAGGGAAGGTCCTGGGCATCCTAGTGCCAGCGAGTGAGGTCTCCCCACTGCGACCTCACCCACTGGCACTCGTTCTGCCCTCTGGGGAAACGCACACTGGGTGGATCCTGCCTCTAGACACCAAGACTCCAACATGTGGCGATCCTTATTCATTCCTAAATCTTAATTTTTTTCTGTGCAAGTGTCCCTTTATCCATCTGGGCTTTGCCTTAATCACTAAGGCGGGGCACTAATGCCCTTTCTGACAGAAGGACTGGGGATGAAAAAGGAGAACTGGGGTGAAAGGGCTTGGAGAGCGTGCACAGCTGCGCATACATGCAAGAGAGTCATGAAAACCCGAGGGGCGCCGTGTGGCGGGTGGTGACTGAGCTGGGGTCAGGGACTCTGGCTCCAAGCCTGCCCTCGGCCACAAATCACTCCCCCTCTTAGCACCTCAATTTCCTCCTCTGAGAAATAAGGGATATGGTTGGTGAGGTCAGTGTTCCTCAAACTTTTTTTTAAATGCATGTTCCTCCCTGCCCACACATTCCCCGGGGATCGTCAGACAGCCCTGGGGGCCCCCAGAGTTGGCCAACGCCAGACTAGAAGCTCTCTGGATTTCCCTCTGCCTGTGAGGTTTCCTGATTGGGGCCAGGTCCGTATAGCAGTCTCCAGGCACCGCAGCACAGCCCTTCAGAAAAGCTGGGAGTTGGGCCTGGCAGACAAGGGGCGCTGTTAGCCATCACCACGCCCTCAAGTGGGGCGCTCCCCAGCATGCTGGCATCACTTCCCACCCCCCTCCAGGGACTGTGAACCTTTGTGAAAATTCATGCCCTGCTTCCAAGCCTATGAGCAAAATACAAACTTGATGAGTAAGACCCAAATTTAAACTTGGCACATTGTCCTAATTTGTTCTGAAGGCCTCAAAAGGGATTATATCACCCCCAGGACCCTTGGAAACCTAATATTCTGGGGCTCACCTCAGTTCTCTGGTGGGACCACACATTCATCCCTGTCTGGGCCTGGCAGCCTCTTCCTTCCTGTGAGTTGAGCTGACAATAATTTAGTGTCAAATATTTATTTGGTTTGTATGTTTCTGGGATGCCAGACATGCCTAGACTGTTAGGATTGCACGGGCTCTGTCAGCCTTGTTTACTGATCTCCACGATCTTGCGTAGAACCCTTCCCAGAGTGAAAGCACACTTGCATACTAGTGTTATGAAAGATAAAAGAAAATAAATAAGCCAATTGATCTATGTAATGAGATGACAAAACTCTGATAAGAAGAAGGGGAGAAAATTGGCCATCAAAAAACATTTTTAAGAGATGAGGGGTTGCAAAAGCAATGTGGAGATGAAGAGTTCAGTGCTACCACTCACACAGGGAGTGTCTTTCACGTAATGTGGGAAGGCCGACCGCAGAGGTGCTCACGTACACACATATTCAACAGGTCTGATGAATCAGCATTAAAGTGGAATAGTCCGCCATTAAATGTGTGTCAGTTAGTCCCAATTAGTGATTCCAAAACATCTGGGCAGGAAACCAGAGCCCGGCTGCCTGTTCCAGGACAATTTAGAAAGCAAAATAAACATGCAGAAAACTGGGCCCTGAGGATGGTGCCTGGAAATCTGCATTTTTTTAACCACCTGTCTCAGATTACTCTCCAGGTTGGGAAACCCCTGCTCAGAAGCACTGTCTAGGATTCAGTCTGGGAAGGCAGCCGATTACGAATTAGAGCTCTTAGGTTGCTCGACGTTACTAAACATGCAATGGTCCTAAGAGTCCAGAGTGAGCCACAAGGTTCACAGGAAAAACGATCAGCGCTTTGTAGCAAGTTCCAGACCAAGAAAACGGGCTTGATTCTAAGCTGTGGGGATGGTTCCTTCAAGAGCTGCTGTCTGGCGGGCAGGGAACTGATGGGACCAGCGTGTGTGACTGTGGCCTGCGTGCAGCTGGGGGGAGGAGCCTGTCCTGGCGCCATGACCATCCGGTACTCAGAGGGGCATCAGCCTGCTGTTCTTGAGGCAGCACTGCAGTCCTGCGTGACCCCCGCACCCCCAGTCATTCCTCCAGCCACTGGGCAGTTCCCGCAACAGGCCCTGCCGGGTTCTCCCTCCCTCCCTCCTGACTGGCCACTCTGACCCACACTCACATTCTGGGGCCCCTCCTCTGAGCTCCTGAGTCCCATACACGCCTGTCTCTGCACTGGCTGCCCCTGGAACCTTCAGTGTCCCCACCCACAGGCCTCCTAGACGACAGCTCCCAAGAGCAGGCAAACGTCATTTGGTTCCCTATCTTCAGTGCCTAGCACTGCAGCTGGCGCACAATAGGAACCCGTTATTTATAAGAGATTTACGAAATGTGGGCAACCTAATGCAGCAGAGGCCTGCACGCCCGCTGTACCAGAGCCAGGACCCAGGGGACTCACCCCGGCTCTGCCCGCCCGGGCTGGCTGGCTTGGAGCGAACCTCACTGCGCCTCCACTGCCCCACGGTCACAGTGACAGCGCTGGGTACTCGGGTGTTCTGTGAGGATTTGATGTCCACCTGCCCTGCCCTGCCCTCTGCCCTCCCCAGCCAACCCATGGTGCCATTCACTGAGAGACACCCCGCCACTTTAGCCAGCAGTTCTCAAACTGTGTTCCAGGGAACTCCTGGGGGGTAAGATGTTTTCAGGGGCCCATGAGGTCGAAACCATTTTCACAATAAAATTAGGACTATTTGCCTTTTGTACTGAGCTCATACAGCATTTCTTCATGCTCTACACAGAAGCAGAGTGGGCACCTCAAGGAAGGGCATGTCTGTGGGCGTTTCCATGAGCTGCATTAGCTGTGTCCCCACGGAACCTCATCTCTCCTTGAAGGAGCCCCTGACAGCCGAACAACAGTTCCTTAGCCGTGGATATTTGACACACATTTTCTTAAAAAGAACAAAGTTAGCCTGTCACTTCTAGGAAAGCAACTGGCAGAATTTGGTGCCAATGATAAAACTTGAGGTTTCACGTGGAAATTGGAATTTTGGAAAACTTGCATCTGCCATTGTGAGCTCTTAGCTTCTCAGTTCTCAGAGGCTTTGATGGGGTGATATGGCAAAAGCGGATGGGATGTTTATAATGCATTATGTCAGTATTCGTAAGATTTGCACGACTCAGCTACTATTTCCCAAACGACTACCACCCCACAGCACAAAGTGATGGTGAGAGATTTCTCTCAAAGCGGAACACAGGCCGAAGGATTTTCAAGTCAGAGTATGAAGGTCACTGGTGTTCCACACTCAGCATTGTAACTGATCTTGGAGAAAAATCACAGGTGGAAATTTTCTGAGGTTTGAAAGAATCTCTGCAATTATCTGAAAACAGTATGAAAGTCCCTCCTCCTTCTGTACTTTCTTTATATTTCAACAAAAAAAAAAAACACAGATTACAACAAAGAGCAGAAAGTGAAATCCAGCTATCTTCTAGTAAGAAGCATTAAAGAGGTTTGCAAAAAATGTGAAACAATCAATGTCACGCTTCTCAATAATTTTTTTTAGTAAATAGCGTTCCTCATAAACACATGTTATTTATGCTGGCATATAATATTATTTTTAGATGTATTAATAGATAACCATTTTTAAAATTTCTGTTTTAATTTCCAGTACAGTAAATACCAAGAGACAAAAGCTCTTTGGAGTCTTCAATGAGTTTTAAAAGTAAAAATGATTCCTAAGACCAAAATGAGAAGTTCTAATGGAGCCCAGAGTGGATGGGACTTGCTTTGGGACCTTCTGACCGGGCTCCTGGGAAGGAAGCAGCCCTGCCCAGCCTCCTCCAGTTTGGGGCCGCCACCAGCCCGGGGTGAGGGCAGAGTCCCCCATATGCCCTGGTGGAAATATCCAGTGCCCCTGGGAAGGACTGCAGGCCACCCAGCCCCGAGAGCCACCTTCCCCAGTAGACTCAAAATCATCCAGATCTGAATGTGCCCCCCAACGGCAACTGACTGGGGGCCACCTTGTCCCAGAGAACTTGCCCTTAAACGGCGTGGGAAGGTGGGGGAAGGGGGTGAGACAT